ATTTGTCCCAGTGCAATGCCTAGTTTAATAGTTAGTATAGGTCTATGTATGCCTATAATATAGGCTACAATTTGTATGATGATGGACTGAGGGTCTAGAAATAAAGTTATAACTGCAATTAGACCTAAAGTCTAGTACATTAGTTGGTGTAAGACATGATTTACAATAAGCCAATACAATTACAAACCACTACATTAGGCCTATAAGGTTTACTAGATCTAGACCTTGCCTGTTGCATATATTGCCAATCTTGCACACCAGTTAATATGTTACATCAATCTTGTATTTTCTTTTTGTTGAACATACACTTACTTGAATGTTGTACTCTAGGACTTGTATTTGATCTACAGATGTATGATGGAATAGTATAATTTACTTCTGTACGTCAATTCGGTCTCAATGTATTTCAGTGGGCGGCTTTTAAAAGTTAAAACTGCAAGCGCAATACACACAAGTAACGTAACACTGTGTTGTATTTACTTAACGTAGGGCAGTTGCACTATATCATAGTGGAGGGCATAATTAATAATTAATAGGCATTATAGGCCAGAGGAAATTTTGCCCCCTTTCACATCTGTGCCCAGGGGCGACTGCTACCCCGTGCCCCCTCTTGCTATGCCACTGCCCAGGTGAGAGGGTTAATGAACAAGAACTGTCATTGCAAAAAAAGAAGATTTAAGTTTGATGTGTGGATCAACAGCAAAAAACCGAAACCAATTGTTAAGTACTAAATTTCTTGTTTTCTTTATGTTTTGTTATAAATGTAACTAAAATGTGAAAGTTAGAAATTATTAGGTTAAATTAGGTAAGATAATGAAAAAAAGAAGTGAATAAAGAAATTTAACCATGAGGTATGCTCATGAGTAGCTCATGCATTATGACATTCAATATGGTGACTTGAGATATGTGTTCACCAAGTGATTTACAGCTTGTATCGTGGGATTAATGCTTAGGTACAGATGAAATGACAATACCACCATAAAATTAAGTAGAAACAGATGTAGAACATTATGAGCCTTCAGCTATTTAGAATAAACAATTGTAGTTTTCTGGTAGAATCTGCAGTCATTTTAGAAAGAAAAATGGGGTAATTTAGATATATTTTGTATTTTTTTGTGGAGGTTACAGGGTCAATCAAATTGATCAAGTCCTTATAGAGTTGGGTTAGAGAAAATAACAGATAAAATACAAAGTTTTACTAGAAAATACTTCATATTTATTTAGGAGGTTTTAGAGGCTTTGCAAGTGAAATTTGAAAAGTGTAAGATGAATAAAAGTATTTTTAATGTTAACATGAAAATTACCTTGCACTCGGACTAGTCAACACTGACTCAATATATTCATTGATAAATCTTAAGTAAAAAATGTGATTTTTTTGTGTACAAAAGACTTGTAGCTTTTATTAAAAGCTTGCCAAAATTTATGAAGATACATGTACCACGTGGTTATAAGGTATATCAAAATGATCGAGCCTGTATAGAAAGAGTGAAACTTGTGTTTATTAAAGAAAAAAGAAGACATTGGCCACTGAAACATAAATGTAATGTAGTTACACATTCCATAGAAAGAAATATCCAATATATGAAATAAAGTACCTGACATAGGTCTCAATTTTTCTCATCAGTCCATCCAGTTCTATGTCCTTCTTTTCATATAATTCTCTTCCAACCTATGAAATGGTTATGAATAAAAATTACTGCTTGGCCTCAGGTTTTAAACACACTAAAAAGTAAAAGTATGAAGCTTTTATCTGAAACTTTTTAACACCAAATCATTTTCTAAGACTACACGTGTTCTTCATTCTAGATCCATCATACTGAGCATATTAAGCATGTTAATACACTTATTCAATTTTTACATAGATGTTTTTGTTTGTTATCAAGCACAAAGCTATACAAAGGGCTATCTGTGCTCTGCCCACCACAGATTTCTAGTGATATAAGTCCGCAGACATACTGCTGTGCTACTGGGGGCTTTTACACAGAATATGTTCATATCAAAATATTAAGTTGAATATTATTACTAAAAAGTTAAATTGCACAAAAATGATTCCATGTTTCATTCTAATCAATAATTAAATATTTTTACAGCCAGTCCTGATGCTGCAGTTCAAGGTCTTTTAGGTTTTATTATTGTGATTTTAAAATATTTTATGAAAATCTTAAACTTAATACTCTGAGTTAAATAAAGTTACTCACATACACAGATACCTATTGATTACTTAAAAATATAAAGAGCAAACTATATTTGCTAGTGTCTTCTTTAAGATTAGCCACTCATGTCAAAGCTTCAATTTTTAAATTACAACTTTAACTCTTCATCATAGTGTAACGATAAGTTCCTACTCAGAAGCAAAAAAAAAAAAGACTTTTATTGTTGCAAGTTGTTTTCTAACGATTTAAGTCCAAAATATTACATATAACTACATTTTGTTTCTCAATTACCTCCATAAATGTACTGTGGGAGTGAAGTCAATATATATCCACTGTACTATAAGAGCCTTATTATGATAAATAATTTTTTTTTACATGGCTTGTGGTATAATGTTAAAAACAAAAACTCAGTTGGTATTAATGAAATGCATAGAAAAAGAAAAGGTGTGTATAAATCTATGTCATAAGTTTTTGTAAAAGATACAGTCCAATATACTTTTGGCTTTAAAATATGACCAAAAAGGCTTCTGATGTATGGCATATACAACTAAAACAATGTATTTTCTGGATGACTCATTTGATATTAAGACTTTAAAGGCCAATTTGAACTATCAAAAACAGAGAGACATTTAAAATAAAGTGAATATAAGAATATTAATTTACACTACAAATTAAAATTACATCTATATGTAAATTCTAAAACATTTTTGGCATATAAACAGTAAACCTAATTAAAACATTCTAGCTTTTCAATGTCATCTATGAAAAAATTATTTCAAGTCACCTATTCTATAGTCAAATTATTATATGTACAGCACTGAATAAGTTAAATTCTACATTGGTGTTTAAATATTAATTATACTTGCTAAAATGTCAATGTGCTATCATTCTAATTGGCTTGCTTGTAATTAAGTACAAAGCTACACAATGGGCTATCTGTGCTTTACCCACCACCGGTATCGAAACCCGGATTCTAGTATTGTAAGTCTGTAGACATACCACTGTGCCACTGGGAGGCACTATCATTTTAATCCATAGAACTATAAGTGGTAGGAGTAACTGTGGGGGTTTTACCAGTACAAGTTAATGCACATTTAAGGTCAGTTATGATCCTGATCCTGTTTGGCTCTGCAGTGATCACAATTACTTTAGGCTGTTTGCTAGTATTTGTTTAGCAGTTATTGTGTTTTCATACTTGTAGACCGAGCTACCACACAGCTAGCAAAATATAATTTTTCAGCAACTTGCATTTTTTGCATTTTTGTTTCTCTGAGAAGAAAAAACAGTCTCTTTTGATGAAGCTGGCTGAGAATAAACTTTGCAAAAATGTATCACTCGGACTAGACGTGTGTGGAAAAAGCATCACTATTCCAGAGTGATGGTCACCCAGAAGCTACTCTTTAGATAAATGTGGTACATATTTGCATTTATAATGAATAAATATGTTATTTCAACATTCAGACCTTACAGTAATGAGCTATTTCAAAGATAAATTCTTTATGACAAAGCTATCTAAGTTTGACATACAATTACAATGTTGTGTTATTAGGCACTGAAAATCTATAATATTCATTATAAACTTAAATAAAGAACAAAACAGAGGCAAATTGCAGTTTTTTAATATGTTAATAGAACATTAATTCAAAAAATATGCCTCCTTTGCCATATAATTATCTTATATTCACATAGACAGTTTAAATTTTGCTACTGATTCTCTTTTAGTTTTAAAAAATACTAAATTTTTTTCATATCAGTTTGAATCCACCTTTTTCTCAAATGTATACATACCCATGGCAGACAACTTAGCACAGCATACACAAACCAGTCAGATCGAACCTGATCAGGAAAAATATATGAATGCATAATCCTTTAACATTCAAATAAAAAATCCAGCTTGAATTATATGAGCTGAACATTTGAAAATAATGATTTTATTGACAAACAACTGTACTTTTGTTTCTGGGTCAGAAAAGAGCTTTCAGTGAAAATATTTTAAAGAATTGAAATAAACAAACTGTCCATGACTGAATGAAAAGAATAATAAACAAGAAATATAAAGGTAAAAAACAACAAAGAATACACTTAACTGAAACATTCTAGCACAGTAGTACAAATCTTGCATACTAAAATTCTACATTTTTCATATAAATTACAACAATCAGGAATAAAGTACAAATTAAATTTATTAATTTGAATAAACCCAAAATTTCTAAAGCTTTTCTAATGAATATTTCAAAAAAGATCCATATATATATATATTTTTATCTCTAAATTATCAATGGTTAATTTTCAGCTATTTTGAAACTTTCATGCAAAGTCTCTTGCAGAAAACTTCACAACGTTTCTACAATCTCTTTGTTAAAATTTTAACATAATATTAATATCTACTTTTTATAACTTTTTATTAAGTATCATTTTGTCACTGAATGAAGTTTAACATTTATTTATACCAAATAATACATTCTAACTATAATATAATTACGAGCTGAAAATTTTATATCTCAATAGGTCTGCTGCTAATAAGTCAATATAAAGTAACTGGTCAACACTTTCTAACAATCAGTAATTATGTTTCTAACATATAAATAACATAGCCATTAAATTATTGTGCAATTTACAAGCCATATAATTACATACAGTCACATATGCAACACAAACCTGAGGTATACTGTCTTCCTGTGTTACTTCTACCATGGATTCAATAAGATTCATTAACGAGCCAATTGATATGACGTTACAGTTGACTAAATCAGCAAGAAAACGAAGCTGAAAAGAACACAATCTTTAAACAACTAAATATACATCAACAACCAAGAGTGAAAAAAATAAAACCAGATACTTCCTTTCAAACAAAAAAAGCAAACAACTCACTTAACATATACACCCAGCCAAAATATTTGCTAAAGAATTTATGTAACGTATTCAGAAAAACATAGAATTTTATTTTCTGTAGGTTAGTCCTATATCAGATTACAATAAAAAATGTATATCAAGGATGCTGAGGATATAACCAATCACCACTTCTTAATACAGTTCCTCTTATTTAAATAAGATGTATTTTCTTCATTATTCCATAACTAACATCAAACCAGTTTGGTCAAAGTGCAGGTGTGGTGTTACAAATCCAGATGCATACAATTGTGTTAAAAGCACCTACTGTTTCAAAACACTGCTTCATAGATGGCCTATGGTGAAACCAAAAAAGTCACAGAATATAAAGACAAAGGACACAAAAGGACTGTACATCTACACTTCTTAATTGAAGTTATTACACAATAAGGAATATGGGATGGGTTTTACCAACTATCTGGATGACATTTGATATAAAATTAACATGACCAGTCTTTGGCTGTAGCTTACTTACATTCTACATATGGGAAAGAAACTTTTGCTTTAACAATAACATGGCTCTAAGTAAATTAAATCAACAGTAAATGTAATAATCTCGGTGTTGAAACTAAATACATTCTACACGTTAAATACATCTCTACTAAATATTAGACTTTATCAACTAAACCAGTTTTACTCTGCTTGCATTGTATAACTAAACCAAAAACTTATTGTGTACAATATTTTGGGAAATGTCACTTAACTTAGTAAGTGATTAAAAAATATATTTACAAGTTACAAAAAATGTGCACATTTAAGCTTTACTTAATATAAAAAAGCTTGATGTTTTTGACATTACTTTAGGTTACTCAAAAACAGATAATGTTATTATTTAAAAAAAAAATTTTATTACTTTGGATTAATAGACAGGTTATATTATATACTTGATTAGTACTTAAATGAGAATAGCACAGAAAAGCAGTTCCAGAATAAGTGAGAAATCAGTAACAGATGAAACAAATTTACATTTAAAACAGGATTTATATTCTTACACACTGTAAAACCATCTAGCAAAATTATGATTAGTTTCAAAGATCAAATTATCTTAGACTGTGACAAGAAACATAATTTTGTATTAATAAGATGATGCATAAAATCTGAAAGTAACAATATTGAAGTTTAAAACAAAATAATATCTGGTTGCTGTTGGAAATCAACCTGCTAAATATGCCACAACTTGAAATTTCTTTATGAAGGCTGCCAAAAAGATAAACTTTTTATACTTTGTTTCATGGAAATATTAAGAATGAAATGAGAAGTGTCCTGAAAACCACTTCCAGTGATAAATGGAACTGAAACTGCAAGGTAAAAGAATGAGTACTATAACCTAGAATGTATAATGTTTTTGTTTATGAAATTTTGCATGCTTTTAATATATAAATGAAATGTAAAAAAATAAATCAGACTCTTTATGCATTTTTAGTAAACTTTGATAATAAATTTCAGAAACTTTGCACACATCATAAAACTGAAAGGTGATTTTCAGATTTGGAATAAATATACTTTTATCCCACTTGCAGTTTTCCTAAATCATTTGAATAATCTCTAGAGCTTATGTAACAATAAGTTTATAAAGAATTAAATAATAACAAATTTTAAAATATATATATAAAAACAAGTACTAGTTGTACTCCCTGTATAGCCTGTTTGTACTCATGCTTCCTAGACCTGACCTACTTTCAACAATGCTTTGAACTTGACTTTTGCTGTCACACGTTAAAAATCTGATTTTTGAATGATAGTAACTGAAAAGAATACAAGACTATAACAATACAGTGAGACAATGCCCATTGAAACATGATACAAATAACATTTAACAAAATAGATTTTCTGATGAAAGTAATAAATTTAGCGTAAAGTATTAATAAAAAAAGTCAACTACACCTACTTGACATACATCAAATCATGAGATATAAGTATATTGCTCATAACTGAGAATCTTAGCTTTCTATTGGTTATAAACAATACCAGGTAAGCCAAGTTCTCACCTGGCAACAAACTAAGAAATTCAGAGAGGTGGGTATAGTTTTTCAATGTAGTTCAAGATTTGTTGAATTTTCAGCACAACAATGAGTTACAAGTTTGAGTTTTACTTACACTGAGTATTGTTTGCACTTGTATTTGACTGAAAGCATTAGCAAGAATTTTGTCAACATTATAAAGAAATAAAATGTACAGCTTGCCGTCTAAAAGTTAAAAATATTTTTAGCAGAAATTAAGTAAAAAATACATAAAATTATCAATTCTAAGTTACATTAAAATTCAATTAAAAGACACTGAAAGGAAAAATAAACACAAGCATATATCTATAAAGTATGTATTACAATTAACACAACATAATACACACATATGTATACATTCAGTACTTACACCATCCAATAATCAACAGTAATGATTATTAAAAATAATGACCTACCTACCTAACCTTAAAAGTGGTGGGTCACCAACAATTTTTTAAGTTTGGTCTGAAAACCAAATCTATTATAATAATACTCATTTCTTGTGTGTCCTGAAAATACATGCACACCTTATTATCTGAATGTGCATGTATTTCAACAGATGTAAACAAAAGGCAAATGTAAATATAGTTTAGTAGACATTTTGTACAAGAACATATTAAAAGCTTATCACATTTTTTAAGAAGATTTAACATTAGGTTGTACTATAACATTATAATTTTATTCATTGATAGTATTAAGTATGGTAAAGTTTAGCCCTAACTAAACTAAAGCAAAAAATTTACACAAGTTAATGTTAATTTATCTGTTTACCAAATATAGAATGTAATTAATAAACACTTAACTAATATTAGGCCTAAGGCAAATGGACTTTCAGATTTTGGTGTCTGTGATTAGAATTCTTATGTATTATTCTAGAAATCCTGTATTTAAAAAGTACTGTTGCTATGATGGAACTAATTTTACCACAAATGTTTTGTGGTTCACTGGTAGTTTCCAAAAGAAAACAAAGTATGTTATCATTTTTTAAGTATAAAAGTAACTTTAAAAAGGATGTAGATATAAATTCCTAACTTAAAAGAAACTGCTTACAGTTGACCTTGCTTCATCAAATTGACAGTTTTTCAGATATTCCTTGAAGTTCTTCACCAAAAGTTCCACAAACTACAAGAAATTATAAGGCATACTAAAAAAACTTGTTTTCAATGAAGCAATTTAAAAAATGCTAACTTCTAATTTTGGAGAGGAACACAAATTTTTATAAAACATTATTTCGCACAGATAAATGTGTTTAAAATAATACATTTAAGAAGTAATACTGAAAGTATAGCTCATTTTAAACTGTTAAACCCAGATTTATTATAAAATTAATAGCTCTTACTTCACTAAAAGATTCACAATTCATTACAGCCAGAAAATTAATATAAGAACACAGGCTTGCAATGGTTTTATTGTCTTGAAATTTTTATATTATACAGTAATTTCTGTATACTGAATCCAAATATGATATCCATTTTTCTCCATATTGTAAAGATTTTTCACAAAACATCATACGTACTTTTACATCAGTGAATTATTTTCATTGAAATAGGTTCACATTTTGTTATGCTTATAATGTTGACAACCACTCGCTATAAATTTCTTCAGATCATTAGTGATGTGAGAGTATTATCGATCATTCTAGAATCCATGAGAAACACACTGCTAGTATATAAACGGTTAACAGGGCATATTACGTGTCTTTTTTGGATAGTATTTGTTTGTGTGTGCCCTTTCACATTATCATTTTTTTTCAATATTATTTATTCATCACTATGGAAACAAGACATTGTGTAAATGACCCAAACATATTCTGTTGTATTTGTAGTAAATTTTATCTAAGAGTTTGTTTTTTTCCAGATTAGAAAAGAATTAATATTTTCAAATTCTGTGAAGCTGAATTATAGAAAATCCATTATTAAAACCAAAACAACTTTTAAGAAGTTTAAATTCACAGGTCTGTGTGACCAATTACATTGGTATCACAAAAATAATGAACAAATTAAATTTAGTGTTTCCAATTACTGTGGTCTTTGATAATTTTAACATCCAAGTAATCAAAATATATGATTTCTAACCATTATTTTAAATTAATTTAAGGTTATTCACCATAACCAATTAGTATCATGACTCATGAAAATCATCATTTAATTGAAAGAGTGCTCATTCTGCTTTTACAAAACTCACAAATGTAAGGGTGTGATCTATTGTCCTTTAACTATATAACTAGCCATATTGATGCCTGTTGTTTGTGTTTACCTTGTATGTCTAAATAATAGTTTAGATTTAACTTGAAATATTGCTTACTTATTCCAAGCTACAAAAGTAACCAGTGTTACTTAGGATAAAATTGCTTTAATAGAAAAAAGTTAACATCAGTTATTTTTTATTTACTTAAAGAACATGCTGACTGCTTAATAACTTACTCATTTATCTGTCTATCAGAAATCCCTATACATGGTCTAATAACAGTCCAACACAGTTAAGTCATTTTATGTGTTTAATTACAACTAACTCTAGAGATAGGAAGCCCTGAAAGTTGATAACAAAAGTCAGGCTGTTGTAATGTGCTGCTTAAACATTGCCTTGTACAGTAAGTTGTTTGATTTGTTACTTTCTAAGCATGCATGTGCATTTCTAAATTTTCTTTCAGTCTGTACTGCAAAATGTAAACATATTAATAATTTTAGAGTGTTCTTTCTTAACTTTCATCCTGTCAATACTTGAAAAGTTTTTTTTGGTGTACAAAATGTGAAGATAGCTTTTATATGCAGAAACATCTTGTTAGCTGAGTTCTTGCACTGATCTTAAAATATAACGTTCATAAACAGAAACATCA